TTTCACGGTGGCAGTCTCATTAGTCCTCTGGATCCTGCATGATGGCAGGATCCGAAAATGGGAGGCAGGCTCACTCGTGGCACTCTACATGATATATGTCGCCACAGTGGTCGTTGGGTCCTGGTGGGAGAAAAGACTCGAACAGAAACGACATCGAGAGTTAATAGTGCAGGAAGAGTTCGTGGACGATATTCCCCCACGATATTACGAACCGTACAGGGATGACGGTACGTCATACATACACAAGTTATTCAAGCACGTCTGTAATGTAATATATCCGCAGTATCGTCACCTGAACCACTCTCATTGACCATTCCAACCCCAGCTCGCGGTCGAGCACATTCCACTCCTGCGCCGCCGCCATCAGTTCCACAAGCACCACAACGATTTCATTCTCGGTCACCCACAAACCAGTCACCTGCGGGTCCTCCTGTTGCTTCCCAGTCAGTTCGACATCTCCCTTCGTTCTCACTTCTATCAGCCCTCGAGTTTCGAGACGTCGTTGCCTCGCTTCAACACCAGACGACCGCATCTTCTTTAGCGGCTTTCGAAACCCCAATCACGCCCCTCGGTGCACGACCCTACAGATCCTTGCCTTCCAGAGCACGCGTTTCCGGTCCACCGTTGCACGTCTCCATGAGTCCTTTGGATGATACCCTAGGTCGTCAGATGCATCTAAGCCCCCTAAATGGTGGTTCGCCAACAGGGCACCTCACCTCCTCTACAGATAATACACTGGTAGATATACCGACCATTTCAGACCATTCTCCGCGCTCTAGGGCATCAACTTTTGATGAAGGCCTTATTGTCCCACCAACTCGATGGCAGGGAATGCTGCGCACACTAAGGGAGACTTCCCTCGTTTTATTCCCTCACCTACACCACTTTTCCAATAAATCGATAACCAGCATTCTGGTGGCCATATTCGCCACACCAGGTGTTTTGGCACTTACTATAACGTCACCGGTGGTGATAACGGCTTCTGGCGAGCCACACGTCCCAAGGCCTGACGATACTACAGAAGATAGACTCATTGAGTTTGAGGAGGATGGAATTGAAAGAGTGTTGGTAGCTGAGGACGAATTAAAAGAAGAACTCTACGACACGCAGTTCAGTAAGTGGCTCACAGCTCTTCAATGTGCTCTGAGCCCGGGTCTGTGTGTTCTGCTGCTTTTGGGTACTTGGAACCTCTTATTCATGGAATATGGTCTGACCTAACCTTTCGGAAAGGAACCAACAAGGGGGCCTTGCTGTATTTTCTGGCTGCCGTTGCCGCTGGAATTTCTGCTGGCGTCCTTGTCCTGGTTTTTGCGGACACGGGAGCCGATACCGCTGGCCGACTTGCACGCTGTTTTATGGGCTTTGTTGTCGCAGTCGTGTGGATCATGACAATTGCTGATGAGGTCGTCAGTGTCCTCAAGGTGTGTACTGCTACTTGAGGTTTCCATCCCAAATGACGCCAGACTACTTCAGACGATTGGCTTGATATTCGGCTTGTCTGACGCCATCATTGGACTGACCATATTCGCTGTGGGGAATTCCTTAGCAGACCTGGTTGCAAACACGAGTGTCGCAGCGTTTGCCCCCATTATGGGATTTTCAGCTTGCTTTGGTGCTCCGATGTTAAACATCCTGCTCGGTATCGGTGTCTCGGGATCTGTCGTAATGCAAGAAACAGGTCGAGACTATACCTTGCGTTTCTCCCCGACGCTGCTACTCAACGCGGTAGGGCTGCTTGCTCTATTGATTGCTACCCTGATCTTCGTGCCCTGGAATGGATACCTGCTCAGCAGAAAATGGGGTATATTCCTCCTTGTCTCATATTTAATTATCATGCTTTTAACTGTCATCGTCGAGGTAAAGCAACATTGACGGAGGAAGACGCTGCGTTTGTTTAAAAAGCAATACTTGTACTTGAAGCTTGACTATTTGCACTGTAGTGTAGTGTCAAATATTACATATGTTCGTCGGGAGTCGCCGGGACGCTGGCTCGCATTTGAATAGGACGCGCTTGACACGCGCAGCTTAGCACAAGAATTTGTATCCAACATGCAATTTGAGTCCAAAGCTTCTACCGCACTCCATCATGCTCTCTCCGACATTCCTCGCTATGACAATTCCAAGGAGAAGACGCCTTTACAGACTCTCGTCGCCAACGCTTATGCCAAGGCCTATAATTATGTCTGTGTTCCTTTAACAAACGAGAACTGGAGATCTAGATGGCGGGAAATGTGTGTAACAAATGGCGAACGTGGCTCAAAAAATATGCTCATTGAGCATCGCGCTGAGGTATGGAGAACTGGGGGTGGTTTCAAGCAGGACGAAGTTCTCATTACCCGCTTAGGCATGCAAATCCTTTGCAACTGTGTCAACGCGGTACTGATCTCTTATGAACAGATGAATCCGATGGTGTGATTGGGTTGGTATCAGACTGGCTGGAACTTGATTCCCCAGATCACTGGATTCGCCACGATTCCGAGATTGTGAGTAACCGCTGGTAGGGTGATCGTCGTTGGTTAAATGCTTCTAGGCATTACTACAAGAGGTCTCATACGCGTCTTATCTCAACGTACAGACCGTTATCTTGCCTCCACCTCGAAATCGTTCGCAGGTCGGGTCATATGCACGTGCTGTGAACTCGGCTCTATCCTGCACCTCGAGCGTACAAATCTCAATTCGAATACCACTGTATGATCCCAAAAGGCTCTCCCTTCAGTCAGGGTCCTCAGATGAGGGCCTCAGTCATACGTGGGAAATGTGGGATTCTATCAGGACAATTTGCGCTTATCACCCACGCCTGTCCCTGAGTATGAAACTTCCAATATTAATGTCTCATTCCCTGATTCTCTCTTGTTTGCAGCATTAGACCTTACCCCACCATGTCCGCCTAATCCACAACTCCTCGCTCGTTGGACTGCTGAGCCCACGCGCTTTTTGTTTTTGCCCGCTACCACCTTTATAGCAAATCCGAAGGGATACCCTGTACTGCCCAAGTCTACACAAAGGTTTATTCGCGATATCATCATTGTGATCCTATATGATGCGTTCATGCCGCATATAGCTGAATGAATCTCTATATAGCAACGCCCAACCATAATTTTGTCGGGGACGGAATCTTCTCTTCACGCATCTGGGGGAGACGGCTCATACCTGCAGTACATTCGACACCTGGAACAGACTAGCCCTAGCGTAAAGGCTTCAGAAACGGAGGGCACCGTCGAAAATTTTGCTCGTGGATACCAAGATTACTTGCAAGCCCCATTGCAGGTGTGCTGATATATAAGTTGCAAAGGGAAATGCATACATTTCACGCTAATCAAACGTGTTTAGCCCCTCATGGATAACCTTCAGAGCATGACTTACGAAATGTTCGAAAAGGATCCTGTAAAGTATGCGCAATATGAAAAAGTAAGCCCTCACTTCTGACACTGTTGACTGATATCCAATGTGACCCAGGCGGTGTATCTCGCTCTTTGTGATCGCCCTGTTGGCTCCCGAACGTGAGTGGTGTTGGTTGAGACAGTCGTATCCACACATCCGTTCATAAGCATGCCAGCGTAATCTGTGTAGTCGGGGCAGGACGTGGGCCTTTAGTGGCGGGATGTCTACGAGCCACAAAGGAATCTGGCAGACTCGTGAAGCTGTATGCGGTGGAAAAGAATCCCAATGCCTTCGTGACGTTCGTTTTCCTGGCAAACTTCACAAACTTCTGCGGTATAACTGGTTTTGCAGTTTACAGGAGAGAAAAGAATACGAATGGTTTGGGAGCGTGAACATCATCTATGGAGACATGCGGACGATAGAGCTCCCCGAGCTGGCAGACATTCTGGTATCAGAACTCCTGGGTTCCTTTGGAGACAACGAGCTCAGCCCTGAGTGTTTGGACGGTGCCATGCGCTTTCTGAGCCGTGAGTCGTTTATGCCCGATTTATAGCAATTAACAACGAAGAAGTAGCGGGCGGAATCTCGATACCGTCCTCATATACGGCACACCTTGCTCCGCTGTCGTCGTCCAAGCTATTCGGTGAAGTTCAAGACAATTCTAAAGACCAAAAGATGGCAGAAACCCCTTACGTTGTCATGTTTCAAGCCGTGAACATTCTGAGCGGAGACGGCGGTGGACCTCAGAGTCGTTGTGGTACCAAGATTCAAGAATGTTGGTCATTCGAACACCCACGTAGAGATGCTGTCCTGGACGCACGAGGTTTGTTGAAAACACTTTAGGCGTTCAGAATTGTAACGCGAGATTTCGCAGGACTACCGCTTACTAACAGCCACAATGTACGGTCGGCGCAGCTCAACTTCTACATACCACACGCCGGGATATTGCACGGGTTGGCTGGATATTTTGAAGCAGTCTTGTACAATGACGTTGGGCTGAGTATCCACCCCGATCGCAAGGATCGAATATCCCCAAATATGCTCAGCTGGTTTCCTTTATTTTTCCCTTTCAAGGTGGGCCTACGGATCGGTCAATTCTCTATATTCTCATCATTGGCACAGGAACCTCTTTACCTGCCGAGAAATTCTGAGCTTTCTGTATCGATATGGCGCATGACTGATAAACGTAAAGTATGGTATGAGTGGTCTGCGGAGTCATTCCTCGCGATGCCTCGTATTCAGCCAGTGGACCAGGCCTCATCCAGGGCGGTTCAATCTTCCAATGGCGTTCCCAGCGGCGGTGATGGGGTGCGGTCTCATCTTCTTTCACCGCGGGCCCAGAGTCCCACATTGTCAGCGCCCAGTCCAATGCTTGATGCACCGCAGCCGTTGTGGGATAGGGGCATGTCTGTCGTCGTGGATGAGTCGCCGCATATAGTGAAGATAGGGCAAATGTCTCTGCAAAACCCTGGCGGCAGAAGTAGTTGGATTGGACTGTAAAATAATATTGTTCCATCAACACTTGCCGACTGTCATTTGCAAATATTAGTCAGCTGTATCTCTGGTGTTTGTTCAAACTTGCTAGTAGAAAAACTTGCTAGGAGAACGAGCAAAATGCATCTCCGGAGCCGGGTTCGAACCAGCGACATTCAGATGTTAGGTAACCATTACAGTCTGACGCTCTTCCAACTGAGCTATCCAGAGCATTGTCTGATGTCGTCTGTATATGTATACATTACTACATTTATGACATTCGTAGCTTTTCGCGGCGCATGCGTAGACTACCCAGCTGTAAGTATTGTATTCGTCTTGGAATTATGGTGATAACGGTCAAACGTGAGCTGGAAGCAGTAGTCGCGCACTTAAATGATCCCATGAAATGGATGGTTACGAGAAGTTGAGAATCGAAGAATCGACGCGCACACAAAGGATTTCCTTTTCGAGCGACACGCAAAAGGAGCAATTAGCGCCAGGATACTTCGGCGATTCGATCACCCACCCGAGATATTTTCACAGTCCTTCGCAGGCGTTGTCCACGACGACACAGACAGGCAGGACAACTGTTCCGCTCACTGCAAACGACCACCCCCGCACGAAAGGTCAACCTACGGAACTCTAAAGGGCCGTGACGGTGGAACCACAACGCTCGCCGCTTTCGTCTCACCGTCTTGTGGCAAAAGCTTATACTGACAGACTAGCCTTAACTGAGGCTCAAAGACGTTTGACAAGATCTACAAAACAAGATAGAAGACTATACCTTCCTCTCCACTAATGAGGCACAGCAAATTGAAGCTACAGCACGCATGGCAACCCTCCAGCTGGACTTGGACGGGGAAAGTCTTGCCAACCGTTGGAGTATTAAATGGGCAATTAGTACTGGGGAAGAGGAACCAACGTGTGCTATTTCAATGGTGCGTCGGCATGACTTACCTATGTACCATTCATACTGACGATGCATGTAACAGTGATTGTTGATATGACAGACACACCCGACGACAATGACGAGTTCGACCGATTTGACATAATCAGTATCCAGGCAACGTCGAAGGGTGCCTTCGACGAGCAAACTATTGCACGTGTCTTCTACCAGAAGGCGTTATTCCCAAGGTGGGAGAACTCAACGTATCTCAGGCAATGCCGACCATTGCCTGGCCAGGGTAGTAGCACACGCCCTCGGCTCCTTACAGAATGAACTTTTAACACTCGCTGGCCACAGCCAGTCTGTTCGCAGCAAGGGTTCCACTACCCACATCGCGCACTATCATTGACTTACTTGGTGCCTCCCTCACCCTGCCAGCCGTACTAACATACTTCACCTACTTTACCTTGACAATTTACATAGTCTCCTCTGTGCGCCTCTGTACAGTACTTGTAGACTACATTAGCATCATATACATACAGCTCAAACTTGCGCGTGCGCACTGACAAGGCTTTGCTCAAACAGTTTCATATTACAGTAGCTACTGCAACTCCTATGCTATAAATCCGTCGTCCTGTCTCTGTCGTCCCAAGAGAGAATATCTCCAAGTCTTAAGATAGGCGCTAATTGCTATTTTTGCGTGTCGCTCGAAAAGGACCGAACGCCGCTCCACAAATTTTGTATGGCATAGACGGCCAGCCACGTATCCTTACATTTTACACCCCGCTCCTCCGTATTTTGCCTCAAATCGACTCACAACCACGCAAACTAGCAGCAAAGCTCTGCCACCGTCCACTCATTAGTAGCTACTATCATCATGTTCTTTTCTCTTGCAGCATTGGCCCTTGTCCCTGCAGTTATTGCACAAAGCTTCACGGTCAACACACCGTCAGTTTTGCATGTAGTACCCCAGCTGTAGATCGTATCTGACGCTGCTTTCCCACCTTCCTCTAGTACCGGTGTCCGCACGTGTGGTGAGTGTCTGACATGCAGCTCTGCCAGTTTTCCTTATGACGGTCGGTGCATTAGAACCTGTCCAGTTGTTGGTATTCCTTCCTAAACCCTCATAGCTATGATTTACATTATACAACCCTCTGTAGCTCGTGGACCGGTGGATCACCCGATTATTTCTTGAGCCTCGTCCCTGGTATGTTGTCTTCCTTTTTTTTTATGAAGATGCACTCTGAGCTGGCATTGCAGCTGGGCAATCCGCCGCAGCACCTGTTCGTTGTTCTTCTATTTATTCAAACCCTGTGTCCCAGTGTCCTAAAAATGGAAACTTCCCCTCAATAGATCAAGCAGTTCCCCACCCAGAGCGGCACCGCTTTCACGTGGACCACTGACCTGGCTGCCGGCACTTCGTTGTGCGTTTTTTGTTTGCTTCCTGTGTGGCCAACCGTTATTGATATGACTTTTAGCACCATTGCTTTGAAAGACAGCACTGGTACTCAGGTATTCTCTGATATTGTTACTATTCAGAACGGCTCGAGCACCAGGTGAGCTTCACTCAAAAGTGATATGATAACATGACTCAATCAGTCCAGTTGTATCAATACGTCAATCACGGAGAGCGGCGGAACGGCAGGTACGGCTGCGTCCACCTCCGGCAGTAGGTAAGTACAAGCAGTTACCCTGGCAAGGCTTTTCCCTTAACAACACGATACAAGCTCTGGCTCGGGTAGTGTTCCTGCTGCAACTACTAGTGCCGGCTCCTCAAGTGCTGCTGCAGCCTCTGGTACGGCATCGTCTACTGGTAGTGCTGCATCGTCGTCCAGTACCTCCAAGCCCAACGGTGCACCTAGCAACAGAGGCAGCGCACTCGCGGTTGCTGGTGTAATGGGTCTCGTTGGTGCCGTCTTGTTCTGATCAGTCTTTTACACATGATATGGAATGAGCGATAGACTTCTACTACCCTCACGACCGTCTTCCACTAGTATCTAGTTGCCTACCCCAAGAGATTAGCTCGATGGACTTTTTTTGTTATGTCTATTCCTCACCCTGAACATATCTTAGTTCTGTTGTTTAATGACGTGCTGTCTGAGCTTGATTAGGAATAGGCGATGTGACTGCTTGAAAATGAATGAATGAACACGAGGCCGCTTCTTCAAGTCACTGGTGGATCCTGGTGGATCCCTATCTTCTTCCAGCTCCCTTGGTTTGAGAGCAAGTCTGCCTTACCTACCCTGCTTCTTTGGGAACCTCAGCTCTTAACTGGGAAACAGTCTTTTGGACGTTCGTTGCGCAAGCTAACAGTAACACTTGTGCAGGGCCAAAATATTTTTCCGATGCCTGAGGTTTCTGAACACGATAAACTCCCACCTGTTTCTAACGGCCATCTCGACGACGACGCGTCAAGAGAATATGAAGACGCGTCCAAAGTGGCCGTCGACGGAGACGCGCAATCCATCTTAGAAACATTGCCAGTTGTCAAGTCGCGTGCAAACCACCCAATTGATCCCGTGAGTAATGTTGAAGAAGCTGAACAGGTATGTCCTTTAGCAGGTTGCGGATTGCCTGGACGCTGACACGCGGCATAAGCACGCGAGTCCTTCTCACGTTGATGCAAACACAAGTGGCCACGGAACGAGAGTTGAAAAAATTTTGGCCGACACGAAGGCCTTTGACAGTCATAGGCCAGCTGCAGCTGATATAAGTGAACGATCTGGTGCAGACGGCTCAGAAGGTTATCAGTCAGGTCGTGAGGCGAGTCCTCGCACGAACGCGATGAAAGTTAATGAACTCATATCATTGCAACACAGGATTCCAATGACAAGAACAGGGCCCACAGTCCAAGTATTGCCACCCCTGCCCTTGGATTGCAGGGGGATGCGAACCCTTTAAAGAGCGACGTTAAGTCCAGCAGCATCGATTACCGGGATGTGGAAGGTCTCATTGAAGAGGACAACACCCCCCAGATAATTTCGGAAGACTTGCCGCTTGCAGATGAGGTTAGAATGGTTCATCTCATCGACCTCGATTCGCTAACTACTGCTTTGCATTTTGCAGCAGCGAGTTGAAATTAGCACGAAAATTTCCGGTGTAATGCAGGCTGAGGAAATCTTTGACATAGCTGAACATGACAGCGCATCAGGGAGAGCAGTACAGGATGCCGTTGTAATCCAGCAAGAGCCAACTCCAGATATTCCAGCCTATTCCGAGGCGGGCGAGGCAAGTGATCCCTGGTTGTCCTACCAATAACTTTGAATGACAAAAGACGACCAGATACCGCCGAAATCTAATGCAGACTTGAATGCAGACTTGAAAGCAGAGCAAGCCGGCACCGCGGACGATGAGCCAAAAGAGTCACTGGACACATATATACCGCAGGTCTCACACGAGGTTGACCAAACCAGTAATAAGCCCCAGAAACCAGTGGAGGTGGAGGTTCGTCATGCCATCGAGGAGCCCAAGGTAGCATCAGTCGCAGAGGCGGTTGACCAAGCCAACGATGAGCCGAATAAGCAATTGGACGCAGAGGCAGTTGACCGAACCAATGATGTGTCAAAGGAGTCATTGGGCACAAGCGCCTACGTTGTTTCTCACCAACTTCATTTTACAGCCCTAGCCCCCCCACGCAGCCTTCATCCAGCCGAGGTTGACCCTGTCAGCGCTGAGCCGAAGGAGACATTGGGCGCAGAGGCCGGTGGCGGGATATTGAGTCAAGTTGAACCACGGAGCACAGAAGGGTTTGATCAAACCAGTGATGTGCCCAAGAAGCCATTTGTTGCAGATGCACCTCAAGACGTGAACCAGCTGGTCATGTCCCATGAATACCGAGTTGGACGACCGCTTGAGTCATCGGAGGATATCTCTAGCCCTGTCACCGGGCCTGATGTAAGTGAGGTAAGTCAGCTTATTCATAAAACAGTTGGATTATTTAAAACCTTTGGATATGCTTGGCACGCATGTACAGCGGCCGGTAGATGTGCCTGTTTCTACTGGAGGCGCCGATGTGTCAAACGAGACCAAGCCCGAAGGATACGAGTCATCCACCCCAGACAACGATGGTCTAGCTCCTGGTTCTCTCCAAGTGCTGGTCTCTTCCGACACTTCACATGCTGATAACGAGGTGAAGATTATTCTTTCCATTAGTTTCAAATGACTTTGACCACTTAACCCGGATCATGTCAGATGCTCAAAGCAGAGCTCACGAATACCGGGAACCATGACACGCGACCGGATGGACTTGACGAGACAATGGATCCCGGCACTGACGCAGGGAAACCCTCAATTTCTCCCCGTGTTCTTGCTTCTGATGATGCACAACCACCCGGTCCCGGTGTGA